ATATATATATATATATAAAACAATTAAATTTTTATCATATATTTGTTGTAAAAATCTTATTGTTGAGCTCTGAGCATTTAAATTTATTCAATTTTGTTAAAGTCCACATGGCAAAGCAACAAAACTGTAGTTTAATCACCAACAGTTTAACATAGATCTGCATTTGATCTCAAGAAAAGGACCATTTCTTCTTGCTCTTTCAGCAGCAAGCATATTGAGCTTGGAAGGGCGGACAAACAGCGAAGCCCATCTCTGTGGGACAATAGAATGAAAGACTCTGATTTTAGGCACAGGTTGAAACAAGCTGGTTGCCAACAAAATGTTCTGCATAAAAATGAGTATCTACAGCGGCAGCTGCCTGCAAGGAATCACTGCAGTAGCTACACACAGAAACAAGCAAACATTTCTTGGATTTCAATACATGATTTCAGGGTGTATCAGACAAAAAAAAATAAAAAATTCTTGATCAGTTTCAAATACACCTCACCACCACAATACCACCTCAAATACACCTGCTTCAAAACACTGTTTGATTTGCATGAAAAGGATTACAAACTGCAGCAATGCGTTTCTTTGAAAATATACATTTCTTTGTATATTGCTATATAATCATTTAAATGGTTTGATCTCACAATCCTTTGATTATCTTTAACCAATATTCAACACTTAACCCACTCCACTCTATTCCATTCAGTGATTTTTTTTGAAAGAAATTAATGCTTTTAGGATGTGTTAAATTGATTTTTAAAAAATGATAATAAAGACATATTGTTAGAAAGGATTAAATAAATGCTGTTCTTTTTAACTTTGTTTATTTAAGAATCCTGAAAAAAGTATCACAGGTTTAAAAAAAATATTAAGCAGCACAACTGTTTCCAACACTGATAATAAATCAGCATATTAGAATGATCTCTGAAGGATCATGTGACACTGAAGACAAGCGTAATGATGCTGACAATGTAGATTTGCATCGCAGAAATAAATGATATTTTAAAGTATAGTAAAATAGAAAACCATTATTTTAAATGGTAATAATATTTCACAGTATTACAGTTTTTTCTGTATTTTTGGTCAAATAAATGCAATTATGAACAAGAGACTTTTTCAAAACACATTCAAAAAATCTTACTGATTCCAAACTTTTGAACAGCAGCGTAATTTTATGTGATTTGAACATACAAACGTTTTGTTTACCAGCCTAGATCTTTCAATAATATTTCACAATATTACAGTTTTTTCTGTATTTTTGGTCAAATAAATGCAATTATGAACAAGAGACTTTTTTCAAAACACATTCAAAAAATCTTACTGATTCCAAACTTTTGAACAGCAGCGTAATTTTATGTGATTTGAACATACAAACGTTTTGTTTACCAGCCTAGATCTTTCCTAACCAGTAGGCAACATTCTATTCTCACGAACAGGTCTTGAAACTTGCAGAAACCTGAGAAATTCAGTTAACGTGTATTCAAAAAATGTCATCTCTCATGTCATGTTACATTCCTTCATGTGACTGAAACCTAAAACTTTTGATGACCTCTCTGGAGCTTTAACCACTAAACCACAACACCACAACCAAATGACCAACAGGACGATCACTGAGTAAAAAAAAAAGTTTCATAGCTCGCTTGGCAAAACATTTGTCTCAATGTTTCATAGAATGTTTCTTGCGTCGTGACGTCATCGCGGCGACGTGTGTTTTTACCTTGAAGCTGAGCGGAAAGAGACTCCTGGTGCTGCTGGTATTTCACGGCCATATCTTCTGTCCTCTTCAGCTGTTTGTGCATCTCGTAAGAAAACATCCCACCATAGATCACCCCAAACACCACCGTGACCAGCAGCAGAGACTGGAAAATCTTCTTCTGCTTCCTGGAGCACACGCCGTTGCCCATTTTCCCTCCTCTCTCGGGTTCCACAGAAACTTTCCAGGGAATGATTTTCTCTTCACTCTTCAGTATAGAAACAGCTCCGTCCTCTCCCAGATTCCTCATGAAACATTATAATTGTGGACAGTTGCTCGTGCGACTTATATATTTGAAATGTTTACGAAAGTCTCACGTTTTGCCAAGTTTTCCAAAGACATTCAGCAGATTAAAAAAAGTAACGAATCCGGTTGTAGTCGGTCCTCGTGCTTAGTCAAAGCTCTGTTAAGTTTTCTACATAATGAAAAATGGTCTTTTTACTAATTATCTGAAGTTTAGAGGCCTAATCGCACCTTTAGTTACGTGTCACCTAGAGCTGCAGCAGATCATCCAGCGATGAGGCTGAAGGAAATCCCGCCCCTCTCAAACATTAAATTGCTACGATTGGTCAAGGTTCGTGTCAATCAAAAGAGATTCGCTCTGATGGGAGGGGCGTGTGTCTGAGAATGTTTTCAAAAATGTCCAGAACAGGCGAGGAAATAAGCAATTTGGATCATATTTTCAATTGCAGATTTAAAAAAAAAACGATTTTGTTTTTTTTAAACTGTAAAAAACGAACTGTTCAAAATTAACTTTTGAACACCAACTCTATTTTTAAATAAATTAATAATTGTATTCAGAAAGTTGGCATTAAGTTGACAGTAAAGACATTTATATAATGTTACAAAACCGTCACAGGAATAAATTAGCCTACATTTTAAAATATATTTCTCTCTCACACTCTCTTCCTCTGAACTGTTTTATATGAAATGCGATTAATGGTATCCAAACCTACTGTTTCTCTGAGTAAACACTTCTATTAAAAGGCAAACTTTTTAATTCAAAGGCAATTTAACACAGTCACCATATTGAGCATTAGGATAACAAATCAGCGCTGACTCGTGAGGAGGAGAGAAGCCAGCATTCACTATTAGAAACCTCATATTGCTCAAGGGCCGCAACCTGCCCTTCAGTTAAAGGGAAAGGCTGATCTAAAAGTGTTTTTACAAACCTGTATGACTTGTTCTTTCTTCCATTGATCACAAAAAGAGATGTTAGGGTCTGACAGCCCAGGACATTTTCACACATGAAAATGCAAGGTGATTAAGACTGTCATTCTGCTTAACATCTTTTGTATTACATGCAAATAAGAAAGTAGGTTTAGAATGACATAAGGGTGTGTAAACGATGGCCTAATTTTCATTTTTATCAGATGGTGTGATTCTCGGTCTGAAATATCATCTGAAAATCCTCTGAAATATCTGGTATCATGTTTGAGGAATGTGAATTTCCTCTTGATTGGAATGCAGACTGCAAAAAATAATTTCTAAACTGCATTTCAATCTTCTTGTACAGTAAGAAAAAAATAATTCAACATGTATTAATTAATTTTAAAAAATTACTGATTTTTTTTTTGTTAAACATGATCGCCATAGATAAGATTGTATGATGTTCCCATAATAGGAAGTCAATAGTGATACAGTAACTGGATAAAAATAATCTGTGTATGTTGCTTTTCAAGGAAGCTAATTCCTGTAATTAATCACATGCATGTCTTCAGCTGGTGGAACAACTCAAACAATAACTTAGAAACAGAAAGTATCCACCCATTTCTCAGTATATGGCATTGCTCAGCGTGTGATTCCATCAGACACAATGGCACACGGCGCAATGCTGCTGCTGCTGAGCTTGGCTCTCGCTCTGGGACCAGCCGTAGGTTTCTATGGGGGTTCCATGACGTTCACACCTGTAAACAGATTTCCAGATGGATCAGTGGAGGTAAATCCAGTTTTGAAATTTTAGAACCTAATGAGTCTCATTTTAATTAGTCTATTTGTATTTTTTTTTTTACTTGTACTATTTCTGTTTCATACAGAGCATGTAAAATGAAGCAATCTAAACTTAGATTGTGAATGCTTAATTTCCTGAAATGCTTAATTTTTTATTATATATATATATATATATATATATATATATAAAGTCCAGGTTTTTTTTTCATCTAAGTTTTTATCTAATGTTTATATTTTATTTCATCTTTACTTAAATTTCTGATTTTTAAATTACTTTATTAAATAGTTTTAGTTAATAATAACAACACTGGTTATGTAATTCATGTAAAACATGTGACAACTAGCCCCGGTCTCCTCTATGTGTTTTTGGCAGATGCACTTTTACTACAGAGAGTCCAGTAGGGGTCCCTGTGGTTCTCAGGTTGACTGGATCTGTGAGAGTGGATCGTGTGGCATCCTCACTAGCACCGAACCTGTGGTGACAGACAGCACAGCTCAAAATCTGTGGTGCCAATCAGAGGTTCACATTGCCAGCAATGTCACTAGTAATGGTCCATTCATTCTGAGGTAATTCTGATGCTGTTTTTATACAACACAACTATTATGCTCTGACTTAAGTCATTGATAACAGTCTTACATAATCACAAAATACACATAATAGATACAAATAAACGAATAAAATCCCACAAAAATTTGTATATGTTAAAGGATTGTCATATTAAGTTCTGTAGTTATGCATAAAGTGAATTATATATTCTCTCGTATTTAAACACATAACAATAAATGACATAATAAGTAAATGCACGTGCATTTGATTAAATATCTCTATCAGCTCCTCTGGTTGCTGCTGGGAGGATAATGTTCATGGTGTCGGTGGATGGACGCTTCGCACTCATGTTGACACTGGCCGTCGATCTGACACTCAGTCTCCAAACAGATCCCCTGTTTCAGCAGCAATTCCAAACATAAGGTGCATGCTTTTTAAAATGACATCATAAAAATTTATTAATACATATATTTTGCATTTGTATTTTCATTAACAGACACATCCACTTCCGTAAATACATAATGCATCTTGCTGCATTGTCTTTTTGATAATACTCAGGATTCCTCAGAACTGCTTCCAGAACATTCATTTGCTGGCACATGATCCAGATAACGATGTTGTGAGATGCAGGTTTAATGACGCCAACTGCACAGTGTGCCATCAACATCCAAACATACATCTTTATCAGGTAACGTTTTCTAATGACAAACTCTTCAACTTGAAGAAAAACCTCAAATTGGAAGGGTAAATGCTTAGTTTTTAAAAAACTGATAAATTTCCACCACAACAAAAATTATGTTCCTTGCCCCTTTGACCTTTTAATTTGTATTTTGAATGTATTTTGTGTGTGTGTGTGTGTGTGTGTGTGTTTTGTAGGAATCATGCACTTTGCACAGAGAAGATTCTCTGGATGTGGGTGTGCATGTGTTTGAGCTCTTGCTGGAGGATTATCCCGTTTCAAACATAACTCTGACTGACGAAAACGGGGTCTTCTCAGTCAGTAATGCATTCAATGACAGCAGTAACCCAACCGCTCTCAGTCAAGTGCCTCTGCAGTTTGCAGTTGAAAGTGAGTGAGAATCACATTATCTGTTACGGGTCAAACAAAGACTCTCCCACATGCAATAAAATAGTTTAGGACGCTATATAACTTTTTAGAAGAAATTTACAGAAATCACAAAAATGGATTCAAATTAACTAAAAAAGTAAGAAATATTAAGAGCAATATCTTTATTTATTTTTTTTACCATACAAAGTCTCACAAATGAAATTGAAAGGAATACCAGAAGTATTAATTTGGCAAAGTACACTGAAAATTTGGAGTAGAAACAATTTTCATTCAGAATTTGCAAGTATATTTTACAAACAATTACAAAGGAACGTTAAGTTACACATTGATTAAAATGTGAAATTTTGATGTAGAAAAATAACCATTTCCAACTTCGAAAAATCTTTTCTTCTTTTTTTTACAGTGTAAGAAATATTCAGAGCAATCTCTTTAAATTGTTTAATAAAAATCCGGATGCAGTAATCACAAATGACTGGAAAAGTCATGGAAATATATTGCTCAAGTCCATGCAGAAAATACTTTGTTTTTGATTGAAGGTGTAATCTGTTGTTGAATGTATTTTTTTTTATATATATAAAGAAAGAAAAATGGAAATCAAAAGTGCATGGGAAAGAACATAAACTAGACATACTGTAGAGCTACAGAATAATTTCACCAATATTCGAGACATCGATCACTTCCAGAAAAACAATAGACATTCATTTCTGTTTAATTGACCTGAACAACCGGTTTCTGTCATTTGAGAGAATGCGTGTGATTAGCAAGAGCCAAAACAATGCAAGACATGTCAAAAGAAAAATTGTGGATAAACAGGTTTGGTTTGGCTTTTGTTAATTGTATCAGAACACGTAATTGAAAGCAGAAGTGAACTGATGCTGCACTTACAATAAATGTTCGTCTGTTGTGAATTGTGTAGCACTGATACTGTGTTTGTGCATTTCTGTGTATTTAAACATACTCTACACACCATCTTGCAGTTCTTCCACCATCTCAGGGTTGTGTACCAGGCGTGAACAAACCAAGTTTCTTGACACCAACTCCTTTACATGGAGATGTGCATCATGCCGCTGTGGGAGAGGTGCATGAGATCACCCTGCGAGCACAGATCTCAGACAACAGGTCTGAATAATGTTTTGTGTTTCTCAAACAAAACTAGAATCACAGTATTTCTCTTAAATATTTGTTAAGCCAGCGTTTCGTTATCTGCAACCTCCAGATTTGATTGCATTTTGCTTATTGGTGGCAGTCATAATAGATTTTTAATCAGTTTTTTCATTGCATTTCTAAGTGGCGTGATTTTGATGAGCAGACGAATTTAACTGAATTCCATTTTATATCACTAGATCAAGTTGGAAAGAATACCTTGACATGCTCAACTGACAATGTTTGCCGAATCAGGTTTTTCATTTGTCTGCCGCTTGAGTTAATGCTGTCTGATCTTTCTGTTCCTTTTGTCTGTGTAGCATCTTTGATTTCCAGGTCAGTGGCCCCTCTAATATGTCTAAGACCCTGACAAGTGAGAGTAATGGAGTTTTGGAGGCAACACTGACTTGGACTCCACAGAAGACGGATTTGTACCGTCGTGTACCTGTGTGTTTCGCAGCAGAGACGCTTCACAGGTAAAATGGGGTCTGTATTTATATTCACTGGTTATTTTTGTTCTCTGCATAGTTTCTTAAGAGTTCTTGTCTGTCTTTATCAGTCAGTCAGAAATGAGGTGCATCATCGTGGCTGTGGCAAAAGCAAGGGTTCTTTCAGGTAAATACATTAGCAGAAACATCTTTTACGTAAGGATTTGAATACAGATACGAATGCTTAAAGGGTTAGTTCACCCAAAAATGAAAATTCTGTCATTAATTACTCACCCTCGTGTTGTTCCAAACCCGTAAGACCTTCGTTCATCTTCGGAACACAATTTAAGATATTTTTGATGAAGTTGACCCAGATCTGGCGTAATGACGTCATCATGCCGGATCTGGGTCAGCGCCGGGGGACTCTCACGTCATGTTACTGTCGTGAACGCGCGTCCAAAGTGACGCAGTAGAGACCAAAATGTGGAATAAAGTCGTTATTTTTGTTTGGCACTCTCACGTCATGTTACTGTCGTGAACGTGCGTCCAAAGTGACGCAGTAGAGACCAAAATGTAGAATAAAGTCATTATTTTTGTTTTGTTTCTCGTAGCTTCGTAACTTTACAGTTGAACCACTGATGTCACACGGACTACTTTGTTGATCATCTTGGTACTTTTCTGGACCTTGAACGTGGTAGTTACCTTGCTGTCTATGGGAGGGTCAGAGAGCCCTCAGATTTCATCAAAAATATCTTACATTTTGTTCCGAAGATGAACGAAGGTCTTACGGGTTTCGAACAACACGAGGGTGAGTAATTAATGACAGACTTTTCATTTTTGGGTGAACTAGCCCTTTAATACTGGGTTTGTTCACGAACTAATCCATTTTTCAAATAAACTTTTAATTAAGTGAATGAATCAATTATACGTTTTATTCACTTAAGTTTCTTCCTTTTGAAGCACGTACCTGCCAAACGTTCTGACGTTCTCACGTTGTTCATTCAGTTTGTCTGTGATGTGTTAAAATGTTGGATGACACTACAATGACGAAAGAATGTTAAAGTCATCATTTATTTAGGCTATAAGCTACTTTGTTGTCATTTGTAGAGAAAATTATGCTTTAACGCTCTTTCTAGAATTCTTTACTTTAATATATTTGCAGACAAGCAAATGTAATAAAGTACAAAATGACTCGGTCGTCAACATCTCAAGGACTCTAAACCTGTTTTTAATGAATCGGTTGACTGAATAATTCTTAAAAAACAAAAATCTCTCATATAAAGCACAAATACTAGGCTATATTTGCTCATCGCCACCTACTGACATAACGATGTAACTTACAGAAAGAGCCACTGAACGATTCAGTGAACGAATCTTTTTGGTGAGTGACTGCGGATAAATCGAATCATCACCACCAACACTAGTAAATGCATAGAGCATTTGAATAGACTTAACTTGTACATTGTGTTGTTGTGGCAGTTCAATACCTCGGTACTCAAGCAAGTTTCCTTTTGTTATTATTCATGCAGGTAGTGAGAAAAACAGTCAGATTAAATGCCATATCCAATAGAATGCAGTGAGTTCTGAATTGCTCTTGTGTTCGTTGTGCAATTCTTGCGTATCTAGATGCGTTTGCATTCACATAATTGTGTAAATTATGTTTAATGCCTTGGTGTTTTTTATGATTTAAATGCAGGTTACATAAAAATACACCAGAATCGTGATTTAATGAATTAATCATATTTTTCAAGGTGAAGCAAAGGTTATCTGTGACGATAACAGTATCAGCATTGTAGTCAGTAAAGCCTCCATGGATGGAATTGACCAGAACTGGCTCCAACTGCGAGACCCCACCTGCTCCCTTACCTCCAATGACACCCACATCCTGGGCACGATGTCCCTCAACACCTGTGGCACTACGATGGATGTATGACAACTATGTTCTTCGAAGTTAAATATTTGAATATTGCATTGAAGCCCCTTACATTCTCTTACTTTTTCTCTCTTTTTTCTTTGGTTTCAACACCAATCAGGACTCTGGAGATTTCATCGTCTTCAAAAACGAGATCAACTCCTTTGAGAACCTGAATGCTGTCATCACCAGACGCAATCAAGTTAAATTCGGCTTCTCCTGCCAGTATCCCAAAATGGCCAGTGTCTCCAACCGCTACGTTAACCATAAATCTGACTACATCTTCACTGAATCCAGTTTCGGCACGTTTGGTTACTCGTTTGAAGTTTTCACCGACAACAGCTTCAACAGTCAGGTAGATCCCAGCCTGTATCCGGTGCAGGTTCAGCTGATGGACCAGATCTACATGGGCATTGAAGCTCATACTGCTCTACCAGAGGTCACTCTCTTCGTTGAGTCCTGCAGAGCCACTCCAGAAGACAATCCATTCAGTGCCGTCTTTTATGACATCATCAAAGATGGGTGAGACTTTATCGTGAACCAGATTTGGACATTTTTAGAAGAAAAGAATAGGATGTTGCCCATTTTATGGTCCTCCAGCCATAAGTATGAGCAATAGAATGCACTAATGAAAGAGTAAGTAGGCCTGTAATTAACACCAGAAGTTTATTCATTATATTCCAAGCTTGTCATTGGTAATGCTTAAAACACTGCAGGAACTTGGCAAAATTAAAGGCTCGCTAGATTAAGCTTTTGGGCTACTAACAAAAAGGTTTCAGGTTCAAGCCCTAGGCGGTCTCCTTCACGGTCGGCCTACAAGGCTTTGTTGAGCCTCACAATGGCTTTCCTCAGAGCCATTTATCACTGTGGTTTACCTAAGGTGTGGTTTAGTAATGTGAAAAGTAAGTGTGAAGCTAAAGATTGATGCTTGTATTTGTGCACCTGAAGCCTTTTTCAGTGCTAAACACTTGTTTACACTGTATTAGTGAAAGAAAATGATTTGTCGTTCATTTAATTACAAGGTCAAGTTACTCACAGCTTAATCCGCAAAAACTTGATCTGCTGAGAGATCTTAAAATAGCGATTTTTAAGTTATTAAAACTTTTGTTCAACAAGGATGCAATAAATTGATCAAAAGTGACAGTAAATACACTGATAATGTTACAAATGATTCCTATTTCAAATAAATGCTGTTCTTATAAACTTTCTATTCATCATATTTTGGAATTTTCTATCAAATATATGCAGCCTTGGTGTGCATAAACTATTCAGTAGTGTACTGTGCATAAACTTTTATCAAGGAACAATGAGTATATTGTGTTGGATTTCATTTTGAAAAAAGTAATGCACAATTCCAATTTTCCTAATATAGGCAATAAGTCTTTCCAATTCAAATGTGTCAGTTTCTTTGTTTCTTTGTAATTATTTGTGAAATTTCTGACTGATTTTTTTATTTATTTTTTTCCAGTGAAAAGTTTATTTATGACCTTCCCTAACATCATGGTACTGTATCAAATGTCAGATGTCATCCACAATTAATATATAAAAAGTTTTATAGTTTAATTCTTGAGGAAGAAGCTAATTGTCACTGTTGCCATAGAGGCTCTCATTTATCTTTAGTCAGGTGTTTTGAGATAATTATACTTAATTATACTTAATTAAACCAATGAACTTAAAAGAGATATTCAACCACACAGATGCCATAAGACATGCCGTCATGGAATGACTTTAAATAGCAACCAACTTCATTACACACTCATCAATCACCGTTTACGACACAAAGATTTACATTTTAGATTGGCAAGCGGGTGGAAAAAACACCCAAGTAAAAGATGCAAAACATGCTTGATCATTGCAAAGATAACAAGGTAAAAATTTCCTTTAAAAGTTTCTTAAATATCCAAGCAAATGAAATCTATGACAAAACTGGGTATAACAGATTCATGTATCAGCAGTTCATTTGAAAGATGAGATTATTTGACTAGAAGAGAGAAGTGATTACAGTATTACAAATATATTACAGTGATTTAGTATAACTATTTTCACTCAGAAATTGCTAGTAAATTTCACAAATAGTTACAAAGAAATGGCAAGTAATTAAACATGACATTATAAAGTAGAAAGACTGAAATAGTGTAGTTATTTTTGTTATTTCAGAAATGTTTCCTTGACAACTAGCTAAAATAAATAAGTTCAAGGGTTTTTTTAAATATGTGTTTTAATTCATTTAATGCTTATTTCAAGTAACTTTTTAAAATATGGTTTTACTTTCAGGTTTAGTTAACTATAATAATCCTAACAATACGCTGTCTCACTTTGCATATTAAGAAAAACAACAACTAAAAATGTGTAAATTAAGTCAGAATGTAATTTTTTTTCATTAGACAAGCATTATATTTAGCTGTCATCATAAAAACATATTTGACAGCTAGACTGCGGCAACTGAACAATCAGAATCAAGTATTTCAGAGATTATAAATATTGATATTATTTGTTATAGTGTTATTCCAGGTCATTTTCCATTGATTTCCTCTTAGATATTGCTCTTACACCAAACCCAAGGCAAACTCTGCCACTGCTTCCAAACCATGTTTTACATAGAGATTTATGTTTATTTAAACAAAGACAAAGTGTCATATTTCTTTTGAATCTTAACAGTTGGTTTTCTTTACACAGATATGGAGATTTACTGTCTAAGATCTGAATATGTTTTATTCACCCTCATGTAAAACTGATGATTGACATAATGAGCACAGTCCAAACTCCAAAAACACGAGCTGCAGATCAATTAAAAGGAAGTTCGGCATCAGTTACTAGTTGTACGGTAATTCATTTGCTCAACTAGCTCAACTGGTTCATTTTTCTTGCAGGGTGTCATGTGTTCCCGTAAACCTTATTTCTGACATGATCAACAGATCATGATCATTCAGATCTTTGATATTCTGAAAACAAAAATAAAAAATCATTTCAAAGACAACGCCTCTTTAAAACAGAACCAAAGAGTCAGATGCAAGTTTGTGGTTGCATTCTTTCGTACATGCAATTGAAATGTTTGTGCAAATAATAAAAATAAAGTGCAAAAAAGTGCATATATTTGTATATGCTATATTAACATATTTCACTTGTATACAGTATGCATGTATATGCTATATTAACATATTTCAGTTTTAATAAAAAACTTGTGGTCACAATGGTGTGTCTAACCACAAAGATGTGAAAAGAAAATGTACATGCCAATAATTCATTAGCAGTAATTAAACCAAGATGAGTATTCTGTGTTTTCCTTTTCTGGAATTCATGACTGTCATTTCCTCTATCAGATACAATAAATCAGAAACCTGTTCAAAGATGCAGAAGACATCGGTTCTGATCAGGATGTCTCTCACCTCTCTGCTCTTGGCCGAGCTTCTGCTCCTCACCACAGTAACGGCCTCACACTTCTATGGCGGCTCGATGACCTTCAACCCAAGAAGGAATCATGATGGATCATACAAGGTGAGAACTCCTGAATTTTAACTGACTGAATTATATTTATAAATGCATGCATTTGTAACACCCCCTTCCTGCCACTGGGAATTTTATGGGTGACGCCCAGGTTCTTTAATATAATGGGTTTAATTTGTTTAAATTCGTGCCTATCTATTTCACAACTTTATCACAAAATATCAGGAAAAATTTAATACAACTTAACAATAAAATATAATTATTTCCTGTTACAGTGGTAGTCTTTTCAATAAAGTTTCTATCAAACCACAAGCGTGTAGTCCCTTTCTATCAAATGAGCTCTATATGTAAAATCAACAGTCAGCAATATGAAAGAAACAAAATCAAGATAAAATAACCCTCTAAGCTGGCAAATACTACGTAAAATACTTTTCAGTTCCTGTTGCAGGCCTGTTTGCTGCTTGTGTTCGTAGAGGCCAAAAACGCACGGCCGCTTCACTCACTTGAGCCACAACAAAATAAAATAAAACTGAAAACAGGGTACCTGTGTTTACGATATCAGTCGTTTAAATCAGGATCATACACAGTCACAGTCTGTTGGTTTCCTAATCGGAATCCATCCCCCCGAAGCACATTCGGCAGACGTCAATGTTAAAGGGGTCATATGATGCTGCTAAAAAGTATTGTGTATTTGGTGTAATGAAATGTGTTTATGCGGTTTAAGGTTCAAAAAACACATTATTTTCCACATACTGTACATTATTGTTTCTCCTCTATGCCCGCTTCGTCCACGGTGAAAGCCGATCCGGCGATCTACAGCGCGTAGTTGAAGTATTTCCTCAGCGACCAGCACGGATCAGTTCCAGGACATCTCCCTTCTCTCGCTCGTACTGCCTTCTATTGCTCCTTCTCTGTCCGTTCTCCCGTCTCGTCCCTCCCCTCCTTCATATCCTGATACATGATAGGTTATTAGTCACAAAGTACCCAATTACATTATAAGGAAATAAAATTCACAGGCTCAACAGTTTAGGTTCTCTCGAAGTGGTTTTTTTTTCAGTACGCTTATAACTTTATACAACATTAACATAAACTTTACTTACAAATATAAAACCGTAACAAATTCTGTAGCAGGGGCTACACATTTATTTGCATTTTACATGTATACATTTATGCATTTGGCATTATGTTTTTTATTTTTTGAGGCAGGTTGTTAGACTGGTTGCTTACTCAAAATATACACTCTCAGAAAAAGGTACAAAAGCTGTCAAATAGGCAGTACCTTTTCAAAAGGTATAAATATGTAACATAAAGGTTCTAATATGTAGGGGTAAATAAGGAACAAATGTAAAACTTTTTAAAGGGTATCACACCAGTGACAGTTTTTGTACCTTTGTGCATTCACCTAATTCAACCTTCTTCATTACGCACGCCTGAATAGTCTTTATAAGGTTGTTAAAAGTTAAATAGAGTTGAATAAACTACCACTTTAAAGGGGTCATCTGAGGCCCATTTTCCACAAGTTGATATGATTTTTTAGGGTCTTAATGAAAAGTCTATAACATACTTTGGTTAAAATTTCTCAATGGTAGTGTGAAAAACACCCTTTTTACCCTGTCAAAATCAGCTCTGCAGAAATCAACCCGTTTTTTTGCATGTTGCTTTAAATGCTAATGAGCTTTGCTGACCCCGCCCCTCGCCATAAGTTGGCTTGTCAACCGCCATAAAATCATACAAGAAGAAGACCCTGCCCCTCTCCTCTGTGGGGTGACGAACCATGCTTTGAGAGACTGTTTACTTTAGCCGCATTTAGCCGCAAAACTTGCTAGCTAGCACGTTATTAGGAACAGCGATTGCAAAGATTCATAAAATACCCTTTATACTCACTTCTGCTGTAAGTGAAGCTGGATCACGAATGATTCGCGCAAACATAAATGCATTTAGGCAGATTGGGGGCCATTCCCTTCACAAACAATAGTAATCCACTGCGTCTTCAGTAAATGACGGGAGTTCATTATTACATCCAACAACAAAACACCTCAATCGCTATGGAGCCATTCTTGTCTACTCCTGCTCCGGCATTGA